TTTCTGTTTTCTTCCCCTTGTTTCAATTCATCTTCCACTTTGAGAACTTTCTCTTCTAATCTGTTTATGTGCTCCTTGATATCCACATGTATGTCTTGCAACATATTTTTTAGCTCCAAAGTAACTTTGTCTTGTTATGTTCCTGTGCCCGCTGGTTTCTGTTTTCTTCATCTTGATATTTGGATCTGACATTGTTGTATTTAATTTGTAATCAAGTTTTTGTAATCCAAAAAATAGGTTAGTAAATTAATTGTAGTCCTGGAGTCGCCCACACCGGCCCAAGCACCAGCCTCCAATAAACCAACCCCTGTTCTTGGGCCCTGTCTTCAGGTTCTTGCTACCTTAATCCAATCACTTTATAACGGCCACATGAAGTAACAAAAGGAAAAAAATTAGGAAACAAGGGGAAGAAAAATAAACACATAAAAAATTATTGGTCAAAAGGCACTCATCTCCCCCCACCCAAAAAATGGTGGAGAGAAAAAAACCCACAAAATTAATTCTTCAATGGTAATCCACACCTCATTGCAAGAGGTAAAAAAAAAATAGATAAAAAGATAAAAGTTGGGGAGGTAAAAAAAAAAGACCCAAAGTAGCCAAATAAACAAAGAGGAAAAAAAGAGGAAACCAGTTGTCTGGGTTATCCAAATTATCCCAATTTCTCCTCCCCCTCTTAGGCAGAAGGGGGAGGCACACACTAACAGGACGGCAGTTTCAACAGCCCATTATAATGTAGCAAGGGAAGGCAAGGCAATGTTTACACAGCTGGTCTTAGTTCTTTCTTCTAGAGGACTTTTACCAGTTCTTTATTATCCACAATGTTTTCAAAGTCAATTTTTCTTAGGCAGCTTTTACTGGGTACTGTTTGCTACTAGATAGCAATGCAGATAATTAATTCAACATTCTTTTAAGTTTCTGGCTTCGAAATCAAATCTAAGCAATTCTCAAAAGTCACCAAGATACCAAGAAAATCATAGGCATAGAGTGAAATTTAAAGACCAACGGCTTCCGATTTGCTTTCTAACATCCTTAAGCAATTCTCAAGATCTGTTACTTCCTTTCTTCTATCTAATGGCTTCGTCCATTCGCTGCTGACACAAGGGAGTGAGAGCTTTGTAACGTCCGCTCCCCCCCCCTTTCTTCTGACACTTTCTCTTTAAAAAGTTTTAACCGGAGGTTTAAAAGTTAGTTTACAGGAATGTTGCACTTTCAAGCACTCTTATTATCTCACCCAAATGCTGTCCACGTTGATTCCTGTGCTTTGTCTGGCCTTCCAGCTGCGATAGCTCACGTTGGCTACCTTTCTTACTTTGGGTCTGAAGGCAAAAGCAGGCGTTTTAGGGTAGTTGCTGATTTCCCAATGACACCCACATGCCCCCCCCTTCATTCCCTACAGGACAGCTATGGTGGGGTTACAGATCACCCTCCCCTGAAACAGCAGGAATCTGGTGGTTCTTCAGAGAGCCCTCTGGATAACACGTCCTGTTCCTGGAATTCAGGACACACACACACCGATTCTATCCCTCTGTTAATGCAGCCTAGGACTCTGTTGCCTTTTTTGGCAGCTGCAATCAATGCAGTATTTTTAGCAATAATAAGGTGCAATCCAAATAATGTACCAAAAGAAAGGCCTTTAAATTAAATTACTTCTTATTAAGAGTTCACATAGTCAAGCTTGGTATTGCTTGGACAAGAAGACCCCAACAGATTGTAAAATATATAAATTATATGATCCAATAAGTAGACACATTGTGTCTAGCTGACAAAAGGCCAGAAGAATACTGATGGTAGCAAAAAAACGAGGGTTTCTGTATATGTTGCTGCCATTTAATGGCCAATCAACCTGGATCTGGTACTGATTTACAATCTATGGTAAGAAACTTTGCACCTAAGAATAAATAAATGTTTTCTCCCATGAGCTTAAATTTTCTTGTCTTGCGCATTATGCAGGAGATCATGAATTTATAACAGTCATTAAAAGTGTTGCAGGCTTGGACTGTTCCTCATTTTCTAAATAACCTTTTAATGAGGAATCTGTTCCGCAGCCTACTTGTCACAACTTAACTATTTCTCAAAGTGCCCCAGTGGAGACATTTGGGCTATGTACTGCCCATTCATTACAACAAAATTTTGCTTGGAGGAAGCATTTAATTTTCTGGCCCTGGGCACATTTCCATAAGTTAAAGACTGATCAGTGGAAAGAGGATTTTATGCCTCGCGTTGAAAACTAGGCAGGTTATAAAATGAGACGAGCAAAGTGCTATTGAGTGAGAGGTGAGTAGAATTCCTGGAGGGATTGATTTCAGTTAAAGATTCTTAAACTCTTGGGCTAAGAGATTGGCTTCAGACATAGACACTCAAAAGTCCCTTTTTAAAAAATGTAGGTACTGTATCTCTATTTGAGTAGACTCAAACTCCCTATGACCTCATCTGCAAATGTAACAAAAAGTATTGGTGGAGTCTAACTTCAAAACATAGGTTTTGGGAGCCCAAAGCCACAAACAGGAGCTGGTGCTGAACTATGTGTGTGCGGCCATCAGTACAGATCATTTATATGGAGAGCAATTCTGCGGTAAGATCCCTAATGTACAACTTGAAGTCCATCTTGCTACCAAAATATTCTAACCTCTGGTTCAGGATTGTGCACAGAATGTGATACAAAGTCAAGAGGGTAACCATGATTGTGGGGTTGACATTATAGCACAGCACACATAAAAACACCAACGGGACTTTGAATACACCAAAACAGCTGCCAACCACTTTGTGGATATTCCCGCTTTGGCTAAATGCTTAGAACCATCTTATAAAATTCTCTGTAGCATTCAAAGATCTTATATTAAGAGCTTCCTTTAAGCAATGATTGAAAGAGCTGACTTTTGATTTATTGCATTTTAGGTTTAATGCTGTTTTGCCAAACTTCAGGGTAGTGATCAGATGGCCCAAGCAATTTTTGGATCCAAACGCATTAAGCACACCAGTGAATAAAGGGATTTTAAACTTTATGATTAACTCAAGGAAATAAATTTTATAAAGCATATATACCAAGCAAGATAATACTCATATCTCTTAATAGTGACAATTGAGGTACCCCAAGGGTGGCCAATTTCCACAATACCCAGCACTGAATTTCCCCACAACAACAGCCCCAAGTTTTTTTTTAAAAAAAAAAAATCAAAAACTGGCACCATGACCTCATGGTTCAACTATGGTCAGACTTGGCCTTGATTGGATGGCATATGATTCTGGGAAGGGAATTGAGACTTTCACAGTACATGAAGCTTTCCTCCTTTTCCTTTATTCAGTGTGCAGAGATGGACAAATTTACAAAAGAAGTAAAAGAAAAGGAGGAAACAGAATATTATATGATATGGAATGAGTGATAAAAATGGCTAGAGAACAGTTGTAAAGCTTAAGGAAAGACTAAATGAAGAAGACACAGGAGTTAGAAATTAACAATGTATAGGTAGAGATGAACAAACACGTATAAATGGAAAGAAGGTTTGTAAATTAAGGACTGTATACAATAGTATCATGTGTATAGACAAAGAGAAACTGAAATAAGGGGGGGGGAGAAGTACATTTACAATGGATGTATACCAAGGAGGAAATGTTGTACAGAAGGAAATAGCAAATAATATTTTTTTATCTTGTTTTTTTAAAAAACTGTTCAATAAAATATTTTTTAAAAAGAATTAAAAAAAACAGGCAGGTCAGCTCAGAATGTGCTCTTAACGTATCTACACTTTTCTTAATATATAGGAGAAATCAGTCACTAAAAGCCTCAAAATAAACAATAATCTTCCGCCTTGCCACTATAAATGCCTATTGGAGAATTGAATTCAGTATATATAAATATATGTAATCTTGTCAATCATACACTCTTGGTTGTTGTTGTTTTTTTTTTACTTTACTTTCCATCACAGGAGCGTAAATTTCCTAAATTTGTGTCCAAAGAAATGGAAAACATGTTCATTGAAGAGTTGAAGTCATCGGTCAATTTACTCATGGCAAACCTGGAAAGCATGCCAGTGTCCAAAGGGGGCTCCGAGTTCAAGTTACAAAAACTGAAACGCAGTCATAACACTTCCATCATTGACTTGGGAGAGGAGAACGAAAACCAGCTCTCCAAATCAGATGTTGTGCTATCTTTCTCCCTGGAGGTAACATCTAGTTTTCATCAACTATAAATAGAAGGGTGTTGTAAAATAACCGTTGTAAAATGAGGACAACATAAATGTCATTTTAAAGCTGCTCAGTGATCAATGTGTTGGCAAGCAGAACTTAAAAAGAGAACAGATAGATAGATAGATAGATAGATAGATAGATAGATAGATAGATAGATAGATAGATAGATAGATAGATAGATAGATAGATAGATAGATAGATAGATAGATAGATAGATAGATAGATAGAGACAGACAGACAGACAGACAGACATACATATATATGTGTGTGTGTTATATTTGTGCTGATAAATAATATATATATTTCTAGCATTTAGGGTGTAAGGAATGTAGACAGCTACAGTAACTTATCCTGGGTCCGTCTGTAAACCTTAAACCAAGCCACCACCATGTTTAACCATTGCATGGATTTTTAATATGAAAAAATGATAGATGGATAGCATGGTGTAGGACATATGCAGGGCAGGAGTGAAATCCTCCTGGTTCAACCCGGTTCAGCCGAACCAGTAGAGGCGATTGTTCTTGGTTCTGTCAACTGGTAGTAAAAAAAAAAAAGCTTCCAAGGATCGTGCAGCTCAGCTGTGAACTATCTGATCATTGAAAGCTTTTTTTCTACTTTTTAAAGCATTTTCCCTGCCAGTTTGGGTGAACCAGCAGGGAAAAAAGCTTTAAAAAGCTTTTTAAAAAGCTTGAGACGATCACTCAGCTCACAGTTGGGCCATGCGATCGTCAGAAGTTTATTTTTTAGATTTTTAAAGCATTTTTTCCCTGCCGGTTCCCAGCAGGGGAAAAATGCTTTAAAAATCTTTAAAAAAAATAGCTGAAAGTGGAAAAAAAGTTGACCACGCCCACATAGTCACATGACCCCACCATCAAGCCATGGCCACAGAACTGTGGGGGGGGATTAGATTTCACCACTGATGCAGGGGTCAGAGACCTCGAGCAACTTACAAGAAAGGCAGGAAAGGCTTTTCACAGGCTGATAAGTTAGTTTCAAAAGTTCTTAATTGACAGGTTGTTTTCCACTGACTCATGGGTTTCAGGCAGGAGGGGTATTTTCTCCATGCTTTCGTAGAGATGCTGGAGGTTGAAGCTATGGTTTCAGGGGTAGCAAGCAGGTGCTATACTTGGGCTACCTGATGAAGAGCTGTAGTAGGGGAGGTCAGAGTCAAAGATAATGCTGGAGGTCAGCTGTTCTTGCATTTCAAGGAAAATGTTTGAATTGATTAAATATTTAATTAAATAAATTTAATATTTCAGTGGAAGAAGAAGCCTAACAGGCTCTTAAAGGGAGAGGGGTTGCTCTTCCCAATGTTTTGGGTTAATGTGAGAGATTCTAATTTCAAACAACAATAACAAATCCCACAACTTTCCAATTTATCCCTATACTCCTATATGGTAGAGTTTTAGATGCTTTCTTCAAAGCAATATAACTTGTGCATTCTTGAATTGATTCCTGAATAAAGAACATTTCTTCTCTCTCTCTCTCTCTCTCTCTCTCTCTCTCTCTCTCTCTCTCTCTCTCTCTCTCTCTCTCTCT